TTGAACGATGGGAACGGTGTGTTTCCCAACGCTCCACGAATTGCCGTTTTGTCGCGTTGCAATTTTCTTTTAGAAGCCGAAATGTTTAAAATGGTTACGCCAGCGGAAAATCAGGTCTGGATGGAATATGTGAGAGCTGGCACAACATTCTACCAGTTTGATTGCATATTTCGTGGCCGGCAATTTAAGATGCATGCTTTTATCACTGCACGGAGTTTTAGTTTCAATATAAACGATTACGAGAGGCGAGTATTCAACATAGATTCTTTAAGTATCACTGTATTTTAGTTTGCATGTTAACGACCCAATGAAAGTCATCAATGTCAATGAGAAAAGACGGAACGCTGTTCTTTACGGAAGCTCCATTCTTTTGATAATTGATATTGAATGCAGTCAAGTGCACAGTTTCGCATTGCTCTAAAAAGGGACGTGATGGTAACTATGAACTAACACATTTTCCTAGCTATGAACACAATGTTGCCAGTACGTTTTCGAATGTATCCCTTTCTAAAGGTGCGATGTTTTACGGTCCAAATGTCCCCAGCACGCTTTTAAGTCTCCCGACCAAACTCTCAGTTTTCAGTCAGCCGACTAGCTGTTCGAATCGCCGCCCTGTGTGATTTCATTTCATCCCAAACGTGTTGCTACTCTTGGAATAAGTCGAGACGTGGTTCATTTCAACAGACAGTAGGCCTTGTATTAACAGCCAACTGATTACGGTACGCTTGGGGAATGTGTGTGCATCTTTGCGTCTAACCCACCGATTCCAAAATTCATCCGTCTCGTGTTCCAACTCCAACCTTTATCCCATCTTGTCCAATATAGAGCAAAATCTCAGCACGCATTCAGAGAACAAATAGGCCGTGCCATATCGAGCGCTCCAGAAGCATTGCACGCCGCCCGACGCTTCCAAGTTCATCCCTGGTCTGCATTCCAAGAAGCCCGCTCCACCCCCGCTGCGGAACTGCGGGCAGGACCCGATCCAACCGTCTGGCAACTGTCACCACGCCACCGATGCCGGCTCCGTGGACACTGCATGGCACGTGCGCGGCTGGACAAAGTCCTCGGCGTCCTGCTCGGCACTGCTGACCTCTGACCCCGCCGGGAACGAGCGCCGCGTCACCAGGCCGCCGGCGCCGCACAATAAACATACCTCCCGCCGGCAGCCGCGCGTCACGTGACCCGGCCGTCACGTACCCGGCCGGGTCACGTGACTGCGGACTGTGCCACGGTGCTTTGGCGTGGACGGGTGGTGGGGTGTGCGTGCGGAACGAGCTGGTTGGTCGTGGGCAGAGGCGCGGGCAGCCCCACGCTCCCCTACCCAGGGGAATCGCCGCAGTAGGTTAAGGATATCGTGGACACGGAAAGGAAAGCAAAGGAAGGTTGTAGGAAAAAGGAAAGGTTGTTATCGGCTTCGTCGTGCCCCGGCATTGATGCCCCACCCCCCTTTCTCCCCCTGATTGTTTCCACGTGGGTCCCTCCCTGGCAGGATGTGGCCCTTGGATCTTGGCAGGCGCGTGCCCTAGGGATAGCGTCCCTTGCCGCGGTGCCGTCTCCGGGTGCTGGGCGTCGCAGTCTCCCGGCTCGTGCCGGGAGCTCATGAGGCAACTTTTTGTGTTCGTTCAGGCTGATTCAAGCAGATGGCTGGTCCCACTCAACAGACCAGCGGGCTCGTTAGTGTTTCGCTCGCCACCGCAGTGTCACAGCCTGTCTGGACGGACGTTTCCACTCGGACAGACCAGCGGGCTCGTTAGTGTGTCGCTCGCCACCGCAGTGTCACGGCCTGTCTGGACGCAGCCGCTTCCGTGCACGCCGGTACCCGGCTGGTGAGTGTCCCGGCCGTATGCAGGAGCCCGTCTCACATTGCTCGTATCGATCGCGATCGCCAACCGCCAGCTGTCAGGTAAACATAGTGACAGACTTGTTCGCCTAGCAGTCATAACATTCAAAACGGGAATTTCAGATGTGCAAAAGTGTCCGTCTGCATTAAAAGGTAACGTGATGTCAGGCGCACCGGAGATAACCTCACCTCACGCCTACAGCGTGACGGCGAGCTCACTCCCGAACGCACGGGCTTCGCCGCACACCCAGTCCCGTGAAGCTAAGCAATGGCTAGGAGCGCCGACCCGTGGGCCCAGTTCAGCTTTGTTCGACGGCTTTCGCGTGAAACTGGAACCCGTCACGACAGCTGGCCTCCCGCTCGGGTTAGCTGATCTCTCGCCAGGTCAGTTGGCCTTCCGCCCGGATCAGCTGACCTCCCGCCCGGATCTGCTGATCTCCCGCTCGGGTCAGCTGATCTTCCGCCCAGGTTAGCTGACCCCCCGTTAGGTTCGGTTGAACTCCCGTTCGGGTCAGCTGACCTCCCGCTCGGATCAGCTGCAGCAGCAGCACCCCAACACTGGTGCTGCGAATGATCGCAAATTGCAGCAAAGGGTCGCAATGTCATGTTTAAACGAAATACTCTGGTGGATGATGACTTGGAAATCCATCAGCCTTTATTGCCGTAGTGTTTGTGGTGAGGGTTGGCATGCCCGCAGCACTCGAGTCCTGGAGATTCGTGGTTACTGAAGTCAGTGATACTTAGTCTCTCAGCTGGGCCTGCCTTTGTATTAATTCTGAACATACGAAAGAATTGCAAAGGCATCGCTTTTTTGCACGGCGTGTGTTGTGCATGCTCACACATGTCCCTCCAACGACGCTTTCAAACAGCCGCATTAGTCGGCACGGCCTTCCGAGCGCAGCCAAACTCGGAGCGGATTCCAGGATCGTGGATTTTCGAGGCTCAGACTCCGGTGAACGTGCCTATTCATTTCACAGACCAATCGGCCTTCCACATCCGGGCTCACAGCAGCGCATCAAACAACGCGTGGTATGTGGGCGTCAGATGAGGGCGGACTAGTGTGACACATCTGAGTGTTAGTCCCAATGAGCCGTATATTACCCTAAAATCAACCATAAAAATGGTAGTCCTCTTTCCTTATTATTGGGGGCATGGAACCACTGTCATAGCTTCATTTCATCGATCCGTTCATGAACAAATCGCACAAAAAATTGCGTCGTATAGTTGCGAACTCCAACCTATACAAGCTAACCGAACATGATGTGCTGGCGAAACGCGATCATACTACAGAACCAGACGGATACATATTGTACTCGTCAGAACGTTTTTTTTCTTCTCATATATTCGCCATAAGCCGATCACGAGCGGCACCCATGTCGTGCACTTCGGAAATTGTTGTTCAAAAACGCATTTTGAAAGGCCCTGTCATCCTCTTCAGCAAACTCCTCACATGCTGATATTGTAAAGACACTTTTAAGGGAGCTGGCATGTGATAATGAATTGCCGAATTTCTAACCTGCTGGAGCTAGTATGTACTCCGTCCTCCATAGGAACAAGGTTTTTTCTAGGATGTTTGCGTTATACAATTTGTTACTTCGTGTAGTGATCACAACCCCGCTCGCACGCAGATGAGTCATAAATCCCACGCACAATACAGAAAATGCAGACTTCCCAGATTCAATCAAAAGCTGTCACTCGAAGTGCCGAAGCTTCGTCTCACCTCACCAAAATTGCCCCATTTATATATGTATATATTGTATCACTAGGCAAGTACCATTCGAATGCAATGGCGCCTCAGGCGACGGCGCCGGCCGCACGAGACGCTGCTTATGGACAGGTACCACAATACCAACGCTAATATCACAGGCGACAAGACAAACACAGGGATGCGACTGTACGCGCTAGACCCACGGAGGGGGGGGGGGGCGGTGGAACGCGGCGGCGGAGGGAGGGGGCCGGTCTGGAAGACTTGTCACGCTCTGACCGGCACGGTGACGAAGAGTGGAGTGAGCGGAGTGAGAGTAAAGGGTGCCGCGGGGTGAAGGTAGATGGGAGGTGAGAGAGGCTCTGATTGGGAGCCAAAGGAGTTGTTGGAGCGGGTTCGGTGTATATGTCATCACAGACAGAGAACCGCAGGTGGAGACGGCAGCTAGGCAGGAAACCGTTCAATAAGGGGCAGACACCGACACCGAGAAGAGGTCAGCACCAGGACTGACGGAACCATCCTAGAGGTGGGCACCAGGACTGATGGAACCATCCTAGAGGTGGGCACCAGGGCTGACGGGATCACCTTAGAGGTGGGCAACACGACCGACAGAAACAGATTAGAGATGGGCACCGGAACGGGCAGAAGCAGACCGAAGGCAGGCAGAGGGCAGGCCCAGCTAACCAGGGTAGGGTACAGGTAGGGCGGAGGGCTATTGAGTGAGGGGACTACATGGGTCGACCACGCGGAGTACACCCTCGATCCCCAACGGTACCAGAGGGAGGAAAAATGGAGGGGGGGGGGGGGGGATCGGCAGAACACGACCGCTGACGACCGTGCCGGTGGCCGCTCGAGACTGCGGGTCTGCCGGACTGGGCTCCTACTGGGCAGCACGGCGAGGCTGACGGCGCCGGTGGCCGCTCGAGACTGCGAGCCCGCCGGACTGGGCTCCTACTGGGCAGCACGGCCAGGTTGACGGTGCCGGTGGCCGCTCGAGACTGCCGGCCTGCCAGACTGGGCTCATACTGGGCAGCACGGCGAGGCTGACGGTGCCGGTGGCCGCTCGAGACTGCCGCCTGTCGGACGGGCTCCTACTGGGCAGCACGGCGAGGCTGACGGTGCCGGTGGCCGCTCGAGACTGCCGGCCTGCCAGACTGGGCTCATACTGGGCAGCACGGCGAGGCTGATGGTGCCGGTGGCCGCTCGAGACTGCCGCCTGTCGGACGGGCTCCTACTGGGCAGCACGGCCAGGCTGACAGCAGCTTTGTCAGGGGGACACCCGGCTTCACGCTCCCGGCTGTACTAGAGAGTTAACTCGGTCGGGCTGAGTAATATCGGCGAGGGATCGGTGAATGAATCACATTGCACAAGCAAACTAAACTGGCAAAATGGTCGGCTCTCGCAGCCAGTTAGGTCTCACCGTTATACAAGAAATGTAGCATGAAACGGGTTGAGCAAGGAATAAATGAAAACAAAATGGACACGTCATTAAAAAATTACTAGGATTGCGGTGTCACCAGTTTCCATAGGCCACTTTGTACTTCGACAACATATCGCGAACAGGAAAACATTGTCAAGCCTCCCATCTCACGAAGGGAACGCAAAAGCAGTGCATAAAAATCCGCTCAGCGGCTTATGTACATAATAATACACCAAGGCGACCCGATATGTCACCACTGTGGGCTGTTAAGACATCGTTCCCTCGAGTCAAGAATGGCGGGGGGTGCGTCGGAATCGGTGGCGCGCGCCGAGTCGCCCAGCCCCTCCCCCTCCCCCACCACGTATGTACATAGTATACTCGATTTGTGTATGGAGCTCGGGCAGACGGGAGCGCTGACACACGAAACGTCGACTGCAGGGCAAAGACGGACACTCCGCTCTAGCGCGTACAGACCAGTCCACTTCTAATCCACCGACAAACTATCGGCGACGGCGCCTAGTTGTGCGTCTTGGCACTTGAAGTTGTCCAACCGGCCGCTGGGCGGCGCTGCCACACACGTCGCCTCGCGGCCGTTCGCGGACCGACTTCCACAGTGATGTGGTCGGCGTGGTCGGCGAACCTGCCGCATCTCTGAGATCAATGAAGAAGGAAAACGGCACGCACGCACACTTGCACATACGGACGCATGCACTCAACCTGTCGGTGTTGCGAGCTCAGCATCCTCTCAGGTGGTCCGCGGATCCGAGTCCGTGCCACATCGTGTGGTGGCATGTCGAATCAGCAGCAGCACACCAGAGTCCACTGAGAAGTCCAGCAGCATCAGGCACGGCCTGACACGTTAGCCACTATAAAATTTGCAAAGTCCCGGGCTCGAAGCGCCTGCCATCTGTGGGCGGCCCCTACAGGTAGACCCTGCGGACGCTCCGCGTGGTGGCGTAGCCGTCGCTCATCGGCGGCTCGTGGCGACTGGTCATGTCTCGCCGGTACGGCAGCTCTTCGGCCATCCCTGAGGAAAGACAACAGGCGCGTCACGCTATGCCACACGTCAAACCGCGGCATTATCAGTCAGCATCAGGGATCGCGACACATTACCCACAACACAGCGTATGCATGCCATTTACCCTCGAACGGGTTATCCCACGGTGAAGGATAATGACCCCGGAACGTTCGAATGCATTGGACCTGCTGGGGCTGACTCTGGTTCTCCATGGCTCAAGGCGAGGCAGCGTTTTCCCATTATTTCCCAGGCGGCGCCATTGCAGCACGCTCAGGTCCCGTCAGCGCACTGTATAACACTGATATCCCGTGTGCAGTAACTACGTGTGACGTCATCAGTAGCAGCGAATTACGTCGTTGCCTCATATGCACACCAAAAACGCATCAGCTTAAACCTTTAATCAAGGGTGTAATCTGGCCAGGCAGATTCAGGACTCCGCGCTTAACCGTTCAATTTAAAGTACCAGCAAATCATGTTTTTGCCTCGGATTCGGTTTTTTTATTTTGTCATTCGGAGGGTGTACAAATATCTTACACATATCATTCGGTTTACATTGCTATATTTCTCGTGAACAAGATGAACAATGTGGAGGGTTAGGAAAGCTGCACATGAAGTTGGGGGAAGGGGGCTGAACTACTATTTCCTAGGCCTTGAGCTCCTCTCCCCAACTCGCACACAATCCTACACTTCCGCTCACGACATCCCATAACATCACGTCCCGTGGCAAGCCAGAGCACGCTCAGTCATCGCCACGGCCCTCTTCACGTGGCACGTGATCGGACGCGACAAGTTATCGTGACTGGCACGGGACAGACGAGGATGGGTCCGCATGCTCGTTTGCAATCACCACCAGTCGCTGTCGCCGAGAATAGTCCCGTTAGAAATTCAATAGCGCAGCGAAGCGGGAGCGCCACCCCGTCACCAAGCACGCCACTCAGCGCAGGGATGGGCCGCACGCTACTCGGCCATAACTTGGCCACCAGTCACCGGGCGCGGGTCTATATTTGGCGGGACGGACGTCGGGTACTCCGGAGGCGCCGGCGCGGGGCTCAGCCGCGCCGGGGGCTCGGTCTTAATGCTCACGCCGCCGCCTCGGAGGCGAGGAACGCCGCCGCCGCCCGCTCACCCCTGTCACCCAGCGATGGAGGCTGGCGTGACCTTGACCTCCTTCCGGCGCCCGCCTGTTCGGGCGCTAAGACTCAGCCGCTGTCAGGCCATTTGCAGCAGATACATCCGCGTTTTCTCAAATTAACCAGGTTCGGTCGACTTGCATTTATGAGGTCGGAGTTTAAGTGCTTGCTGGAACGTCATTAATCGAAGCCCATACCAACGTAAATGATGTTATTATCGGACATCTGTCCACAAACAAGACTATTTCCAGCTCCAAGATATCGATCCATTCAAAGCGTACCAACGAGCTTCGATTCTGCGTCCACAGATACGCCAAGCAAGAGAGAAAATGTCACTGGCGGAGTGCAGGCGACCACCTTATCCACACTGCAAAGATGGCCATGCTACCGGTAGTGTCTTCTCCGGTAGAATATGCCATGTATCTTCGGAAGCATTGGGATCCACCGTACCTCTCCGGGGTACGTACAATAGTCCAGGATCCAAGGTACCCCACACCGTACCTCTCCGGGGTACGTACAGTAGTCCAGGGTCCAAGGTACCCCACACCGCACCTCTCCGGAGTACGTACAGTAGTCCACGGTTCAACGTACCCCACACCGTATCTCTCCGGGGTACGTACAGTAGTCCAGGGTCTAAGGTACCCCACATCGTACCTCTCCGAAGTACGTACCGCAGTCCATGGTCCAGGGCACCTCACATCGTGCCTCTCCGGAGTATGTACAGTAGTCCAGGGTTCAGGGTACCCCACACCACAAGCTCCAGCCTGCGTGCGTACCTGCGTCCTCCAGCTGGAGGGGGCGGCCGCGCAGCTGCCGATGGTGGGTGCCGTACACGTCTCCACGCAGCGGCAGCATCGAACCCTCGTACTTGTCTGCAGAGGGGCACCTCAGGTCAGGTGGAGTGAGATGGGGTCAGCCGGGCTCGTACTAACGTGGACAACAGGGGAGAGAGAATGGATGAATTCTTTCGATGGCGATACGGATACCGAATCGCTTGTACCATCACTAGCCAAATAACGAAAACAAAGCTAACCGTACTTGGCAGGAGCCTGGGGGGGCTGGGGGTCTGAGTAACTTGTTTCATGTTCACAAAGCACAGGCGCATGATGTGTATTAAAATGGCAATACTGAGACATCATCTCATGGCGTTCTTCAGCCGTGGCCCTTTCCACAAATATCACACAGGTATACCGTTGGTAACATGCTGTAGTGCGAGCTACCCTGTCCGCGAAGGCCATCACGGGCTGCGCCGGAGTCCCCGGCCGAGCCGGCGCCCTGACCTAACCTGACCTGACCTGAGTACTGGAGCGGCAGCGTGCCCGTCCGTCTGGTTTTTTCTTCAGAGCGTGCCGACCATGCTGTTGTGGGTATGAGCACACCGGCTCTGAGTAGGTGACCTCCTCGCCCAGAAGTGTGGGGGTCTTGCGCCAGCCTGCCGGAGCGGTCAGGTCATCGGCGAACGGTCACTCGTGGTCACTCGGACCGCCTCAGCGCCAGGGGCGGCCGCACGGGAAAGGACCGTCTCAGGGGCGCGGGGACTGACAGCGGTCGAGACAAAGCCGGCTCAGGGGCGCGGAGACTCCCAGCGGTCAGGACAGGATCGCCTCGGGGGCGCAGAGACTCCCAGCGGTCAGGACAGGGTCGTCTCAGGGGCGCAGAGACTCCCAGCCCTCAGGACAGGATCGCCTCAGGGGCGCAGAGACTCCCAGCGCTCAGGACAGGATCGCCTCAGGGGCGCAGAGACTCCCAGCGCTCAGGACAGGATCGCCTCAGGGGCGCAGAGACTCCCACGCTCAGGACAGGATCGCCTCAGGGGCGCAGAGACTCCCAGCGCTCAGGACAGGATCGCCTCAGGGGCGCAGAGACTCCCCAGCGCTCAGGACAGGATCGCCTCAGGGGCGCAGAGACTCCCAGCGCTCAGGACAGGATCGCCTCAGGGGCGCAGAGACTCCCAGCGCTCAGGACAGGATCGCCTCAGGGGCGCAGAGACTCCCAGCGCTCAGGACAGGATCGCCTCAGGGGCGCAGAGACTCCCAGCGCTCAGGACAGGATCGCCTCAGGGGCGCAGAGACTGCCAGCAGTCGCCACAGAACCGCCTCAGGGGCGCGGACACGGTCAGCGGTCCGGACAGGACCGCCTCAGGGGCGCGGACACGGTCAGCGGTCCGGACAGGACCGCCTCAGGGGTGCGGACACGGTCAGCGGTCCGGATAGGACCGCCTCAGGGGTGCGGACACGGTCAGCGGTCCGGACAGGACCGCCTCAGGGGTGCGGAGACTGAGAGCGGTTGCGGGATGGAACCGGGCGCGAGGCGCCTTCGTAGCGTTCCGGCACACATTCACACCTTGCTCTCCGGGCAGCGAAACGATTGCTTAACTCAAGACTAACCTGGGCATTCACAGTTGACGCATACAAGTTGCCACTGAGTTGTGAGGTCGAGATTAACGCCGGCGCCACATGCTGACTGGTGAGCTCGCTTGTAAGCCGATCTCAGCATGAGGTTCGCATCTCGCCGAATGGTGACTTTCTGTCATTGATATCGGTGGGGCAGCACCCACCGATCCCACCATGTGGTGAAGCTCCGCACCAGTCCCGATCAAACACCACCCACTCGTCGCACCTTGTGTTGACATTCTGCCGCTGGTCGAAGTAGGTGTAGTCGGTGTCGGCGTACGGCATGTTGACGTCGTCCTTGTGGCAGCGGCGCGCGCAGTAGTGGCCGACCACGAAGCCGAGCACCAGCGCTGAGATGGCCGTGATCAGCACGGCCAGTGCCAGCGTGCCGGCCGTGAACAGCTCGTCCGAGACTGTCTCCGAACTGCTGGGACCTGGCACGCGGCACGAGGGACAGCGTCTCAGCGAGGCCGCCACCGGGCGGACGCTCTTCGTCGTGAGGTTGTTTGTAGAGCACTAACAGTTGCAGTAGTCGTGCAAGCGACCACAGGCTAATGAGCTATTTCAGCTAGCTGCCGCCTGGGCTATTTTCTCCCACCCCTCCCGTTGGGTGTGACTTCAGACGTTGGCTGCCAAGCCCCTGACGTTAAGCATTTACGGTGGCTACCGACACTTGAGCACCCGCAACTTGTAACCGCTACTTTCTGTCTTCCCTGGTTCTAACTTCAATCCGGTCCCACCACTGAGACATAGATCTTAGACCGCCTGGCCCGAGCCTCCTACCTTGGAATATACCTCGCATGGGACTCAGACCTTTTTTGCCACAGGACACACCAATCCCAGCCTTTGAATCATGCCGCACATCACACCATAACAAGTCCGACTTCTGACCTCCGACCTCCGACCTCCGACCTCCGACCTCCGACACCGCCTCTGCCTCCAATCTTACCGCTACTTGACTTCAGGAAACATCGAAATCCAAGCCCGTTTGGAATTAGTCTCGAAACCTCTCTGATCTTTCTTATTTTGACCCCAGACCACACGTAAGTCGGACATCTGACTGATTTGACCTGTAATCTCGAACCCCTACCCTGAAACATAGCCCACACTGGTTTGAACCTTGAACCCTCTCGTCACTCGAACCCTTTCTACTTCGAATTCTGGCCCATTCGACCCTGGTGCCCCATCCGTGACGAACTTGAGCCGTGCCATCGGTGACCTCTGCCCGGTGCTGACCTTGTCCGGCGCCAGCGGGATGGGAGGACGAGGGCCGGTCGGGCCGCCGGCTGCCCTGCTCTGACTGGAAGGAGAGCGGCTGGTCGGAGCCGAACTTCGCCCCGGAGCGCCTGTCCTCCACGCTCAGCCGGCTGCGCTTGGTCGCTCCTGCGGCAGACGTGGCGCGTCAGAGGCCGCGGCGCCGGTGTGGCAGCCAGCCGGTCAAGGCCGGCATTTGTGAGGGAACGCCTGGCGGCCAATGAAACATTGTCAGCTGTGTTTCAATTTCGCTACACGGCGGGCGGCTTGGTATTGAGGCACCACTGATGCTCGGCAGCTCTAAAGATATGATATAATGGGGGGGGGGGGATCTGTGTTACTGGATAGTAAAGATAGGAAACAAGGTCTGTCCGACATAGCTCGCAAGATATATAAGGTCAGGGGATGAGTTTTTATGCTCATAGCGAACATTGGTCTAGGAAATGCTTCCACAGAAGCAATGGCATACGAATGGACAATCGCCAAAAGCACAGTATATGAAAATACGCTACGAAGTGGGAAAGAGTCCAAAGACGTTTCGTAATAATTGCATTGATTTTCCACATCGCTATCATTCATCAGGTGTTATTGTGCTGATATGAAGCGGGAACACATGTGCTCGACACGAACGCTTGGAATACAGAACTTGCTTCCCACGCTACAAAAGGATTTTTTAATAGAACTATCACTGCTCAGACCTAGCGTAGCACTCTTAGCGTCATGTATCCAGCCTCAACCTTTCGATGATTCGTTCACATGCGGCACTACTCAAACTTCTGCTCCAAATGGACGGGACATCTCTCGAACCTGCGGGGATTCCGTCCATGACGTCATACCAGCGAACAAAAGCGGTCAAAGGTCACCATTGCGGGGGGCGGGGCGGGGGCGGGGCCGGGGCCGGGGCCGGGGTCGCAGCTCGACAGGAGCACGCGGGGGTCAAACAAAGGTCAGCAGGCCGAACTTCGCCTGCGGCAGTCGGGCTCCGAGCTGTAATGTGATCGGTGTCGGTGCCCTTTGCCCTGCACGTGCACTCGGCTCGCCGGACGCGGTTGCCCTGGTGACTAGGGGGAGGATACCTCCATCCAATAATCCTAACATTACACATTGCGATCCACAACGCCCCGTGCAAAGAGTGAACTTATTTCAACCAACCCCCACCCCTACTCCAATCCTGTTCCCCAACCAACAACTAGGCTTGGCTTCCCATCTGCCACTGCACAATCGGTTGTCCTTGCTCGTTTGGAACGTCCGTGCGGAATATTCTCCAGGTGCCACTCCAACATAGATGGGTTTTTTGTCGGCGGTGCACTTTCGCGGCGGTGACGCCTCCGATGGTGTCACGTGGTCAATCCGTCCCTGACGAGTGACCTCATGATGTCCCGTGACCGCTTCGTCCCTGACGAGCGATCTGATGGTGTACCGTGGCTATTCCGTCGCTGACGAGTGATCTGATGGTGTACGGTAACCACTCCGTCTCTGACGAGTGACCTGATGGTGTTTCGCGGTCACTCCGTCGCCGACGAGTGATCTGATGGTGTACCGTGGCCACTTCCTCCCTGACGAGAGTGTCCAATGCCTCCGCTCCAAACTGGGTTCGGCGACTGTTCAATGGCTCCGTCCCAATGCCTTTGCTCTAAACTGGGTTTGGCGACTGTTCAAAGCCTCCGCTCTGAATGCCTCCGCTCTAAACTGGGTTTGGCGACTGTTCAACGCCTCCGCTCTGAATGCCTTTGCTCTAACTGGGTTTGGCGACTGTTCAACACGCCTCCGCCTCTAACTGGGTTTGGCGACTGTTCAACGACCTCGCTCTAAACTGGGTTTGGCGACTGTTCAACGCCTCCGCTCTAAACTGGGTTTGGCGACTGTTCAACGCCTCCGCTCTAAACTGGGTTTGGCGACCGTTCAACGCCTCCGCTCTAAACTGGGTTTGGCGACTGTTCAACGCCTCCGCTCTAAACTGGGTTTGGCGACTGTTCAACGCCTCCGCTCTAAACTGGGTTTGGCGACTGTTCAACGCCTCCGCTCTAAACTAGGTGGGTCACCTGAAGAGCGATCAACTGAAAATTTAATCTCTACGATCAAGCTCAAGATGCGTGAAGGGCAGACAGGCTATCCGGCAGATGATCAGATCGTCATACTGATAACCTGGGGCCGGGCTTCGTAGAAATGTCTCCGAGGGTTCTTCTACTGAAATGATGTGTGCCCTGAGCCGCAGTGGGGAACGTTTGCCAGTTGGGGGCTCCACGCTCTCCCATGTTTTGGCCCTCGGTGGTCACAGTTTATCAGGAGAGACCACATCACGGTTGGAGAGTCCATGGAGGGGAGGTCGTGAGGGTCAGGGCTAGTAATTAAGAAATAGCATTAGACCTGTAAAAACAACACACCATATCTGGGTCACGGAAAGGGAATTGCGACCACATCCCTTCTCCTCTCCCTCCTCCCCTCCCCCCCCCCCCCCCCCAGGCGGTTCTATATCTAAAACTTCCGATGCTGACCCACGTACATCCCGGTGGCGGCGTATGGCTGATAGCGAGTCACCCTGCCTGCACCTAGCCCGGCGATGACGAAATCTATCTCACGAAACAGCATACAGAACACCAGGAAATGAACACAACTCCGCATATTTACAACCAATCACCTGGCCCGCTGTCAGAAAATGGGAGTGGAGCGGTGTTTTCCAGAAACGCGGAAAGAAATACGAGACCATCCGCCACAGTCATAAGGCGGAAGATACCTAGCCAGCGGTCGCCATTTCCCTTCAAAACAGCGTCCAATCGGTAGTACGTTCCATCCTGGCAACCACTCCACCGCAAAACGACCTATCAAAATGCAAAATACGCGAATGAAGTGCCCTACGCACAAATTCCCCCATTCTCAAGATTTTATGCAAAGGCCGTAGATAGCTCATCTCGTCATGCTCTGCCGGCGAGTCCACATTCACGAGACTGCTCATCCTCCAGCCTCGGGCCCAGATCAAACAAATCTGTATGCTAATGTCGATTCCACAGGCATTGGATCTGCATGAGATCGCCCACCGCTTCGGGCCGCTCGCAGACGTGATTGAGTGACGTCACCAGCCGTCGGACCGTGACGTCACGGGCGTCAGGCCCGCCGCCGGCGAGGTGCCAGACGCGAGAACGCGGCGCTGCCCGTCAGCGCGGGTGGTGAAGAAGCGGACCAGCGTCCGCGCAGAGGCCGCGTCATCCGGGCAAGCCGACGATGTCAGAACGTCCAGGCGGTCATGTCCAAGCTTCCAAGCTTGTTCTCTGTCATGGAGAACTCGCTGGTCCCCCCCCCCCCCCCCCCACCCTGTCCATAGTGGGATGGGGTGGGGCTGTGAAGATCCAGCCTCGCCATCCACAGGGGGAGGGGTACTGTAGAGGCCTGCGCCCCACTGACCTTCGGGGCACTGTCGCGACGCGCCGTCGCGCACGTTCTGCACAACTCCGGCCCGTGTAACCGCTGCGGGGTCCACAAAGGAGCAGCGCTGGCGGCGCAGGTCCCACGCGCAGTACGGGTCCTGGCAGGGCCACGCAGTCCCTGGAATAAGGCGCGCGTCAGCTCGGGGGGCAGGAGCCGGCCTCCGCGACGGAGACCCTTGTTCTAATCCGGACGAGGCTGTGGCCGGTGATCCCTGACGTAACAGCTGAGGTCGCTAACGTTCCGCGAGGAATTTAAGCGGAGCTATGCGCCGGCATCCTTAAAAGGACACCCACTGAAGCGGGACACGACGCACGAACAGGGCAATCAGTAGCATGTCCCGCGTCCCGTAAAGTGTCCAGTGACCGGTGGCAGTATGGCATCCGGCAACATCGCAGTTTCCGGTGGTGGTCCGGCAACAGGGCAGCCACATTAGCATCGGATGGTATTGGGGACAAGGCCGCGACAGACAAATTTGAAGGGGATAAGAAACAGACAACGACCACAACACAGTCGGATGAAATGGGTTTGGATATATACGAAGATATGTACGAATATCTTACGTCTGTGCAGGATTCATCACGGTACGATATATCATCACGGTATTCATCACGTACGACTCACAATCACACGGATCTCACCATTACTCACTCAATCGATCATCACAATGCACATAAAATGCACATCATCACGGTATTCATCACGGTACGACTCAAATCACAC